TTAATGAATAAATAAAGAAATAAATAATTATAAATAAAATATATAAATATAATAATATGCTAGCTAAATTAGTAAAACAAGAAAAAAAAGAAATTCTATTAAGAAAACTATCTATAATTAAAATAATTCAAATATACTATGTGACTTTTTTGACAAGATAAAATAATTTTTGTGACATAGTATTATGAGTGATATAATATACAGTATAGTATATGACATAATAATGATCTGTAAATAAATATATAATTTATTATATATTATATTTTAAATAATTAAAAAAAAGATATTAAAAAAATATATTTTCTTGAAGTTAAATATATATTTAAATTTTATATTAAAAATATTATTTTAATTATAAATTTATATATTTTTAATATCCTTTATAAAAAAATAAATAATATTTTAATAAAATAATACTTTAAATATTTAAATTTATATTAATTAAAAAAATAATATTTTTATATTATTATATTAAATTAATATTCAAAATAATTAATAATAAATTAAATTTAAATTTATATAATATTTAATATATATAATAATCATCAAAAATAATGTAATACTTAAATTTTTTATTAATTATAATTAGTAAAATATATATTTTTTCTTATATATAAAAGTTTTTAATTTTACTAATAAATATATTTTATTTTTAGCACAAAAAATAGTTAAAGTTCTTTAGTTTAATATATATTTTTTTCAAATTTTTCAAATTTTTTATTAGTAACTTATTCTAATTATATATAAATTAATTAATTTTTATTAATTATTAATTAATTAATTTTATATATAATTAAAACAAATTATCAGTAAAAAATCTGAAAAAAATATATATTAAACTAGAGAAGTTTAATTATTTTTTAAGTTAAAAATAAAAAATATTTATTAATAAAATTAAAAATTTTTATATATAAGAAAAAATATATATTTTATTAATTATAATTAATAAAAAATTAAAAGTATTATATTATTTATAATTATTATTATTAATATAAGTTTATTTATTTATTATTATAAATAAAATAAAATATGAATTAATTAATTTTAATTTATAAATAATTTATAATTCTATTATTTAAATAATAATTAAATCTAAAAGTAAATTAATAATCTAAAATATATATATTAATTTTATATAATTTATAAAATTAATTATTTTAGATTATATTTTTGAAAAATAATATTATAATTAATTTAATAATTATATATTAATAAATAATATAAATAATAATAATAAAGAATAAATAAAAATAAATAAATAAAAGAATATTAAAAAATAATAATTATTTAGATAAAATATATTAATAATTATTAATATAATAATATATAATTAATTTAATTAATTTAATTAAAATGATTATTTATATGTATATCTAATATAAAATTAATTTTAATAAAAATAATATAAACTTATAAGTATAATATAAAAAATATAAAATAAAAAACTAATTTAAATAAAAAATAATTCAATCAAAATTTATTATATTAAATAAATTTATTTATTTAATTATAAAAAATTTTTAATAAAATTTTAATTAAAATTATTTTTTATATAAAATTTTTAATATAAAATATAAAATATAATAATTTTTATAATTATAAAATCAAAAAATTAATTTTATTTATGAAATTTTTTATATCAAAATTTATAAATTTATTAAAAAATAATTTTTATTTTATATTAAAATAAAATTTTAAATTATTAATTTTAATATATAATTTTTTAAATCTTGTCAAAGAGAATAATTCTAATTATAAAGTTTTTGACAAAATTTTATCTAATTAAAAATAAAATTTAATTAGAAAAAAATCTTGTAAAAATCTTGTAATTAAAATAACTTTTTCAAAAAAATCTAAAAAAATCTGAAAATATTATATATTAAAACTATAATTTATAAACTTTATTTTGATATAAAATAAAAATTATTTCTAATAAACTTATAACTTTAATATAAAGAGAAAATTTCAATTTTTTTATATTTTATTAATAAAATAAATTTTTAATTTCATAATTATAAAAATCACTTATAAGTAATTTTTTATTTTATATTATATATATTTATTTTTATATCTTAAGTTATATATAATATATTTAAATAATACTTTGAATTATATCAACTAAATAATTGTTAATTAATGACTAATAATATATTTTTTTTAATATCTCAAAAATTATTTAGAAAATTGCTATTTAAATATTAAGTAGTTTAACTGATTAATTTTTAAAGATTTCAGAGAAATAAATATTTTTAGTGATTTTAATATTAATATAAAGATCATTCGCCATTACTTTCCGTATTTATTGATGTTTTATAATTATTGAACAAGGAATGATGATCCAATCAACAATGTGAGAATAATTAATTTTTCAAAATTCATCCGCAATGATCAGATGATCGTGTTACAAACAATTCAAAAAAAGTTCTGCTACTTTTGGATTGATTTCTATTGATGTTTTGCTGCGCATGTTTCATTTATTGCAGTATGCATGTGTGACACACCTGCAATACCTCCAACTTGCATGGATGGGACGAGATTTTTTTTTGTTTTTAAATGAGCGGATGCTAGCATATGTCTTTTGGTCGATTCTTTAGATTACTATTGTTAACTTAGACTTTGTGTTAGGGTCTTTATTTCGTCAAGTAAATGCATCAATCAATGCATCAAGAAAGATGCGATTATTTATTAATCTAGTAAATATTAGTTAAAGAAGGGAGCGACCGCACGGTAACCCACCCTAAAGACTGGTCGGGTTATACAAAATGGTTTTGGGGGATATTGTGTTCGCTAAAAAGTTACACCACTTTTTTTTTGCTTTCTCGCTGCGCAAAATCCAATTGGCTCATCCAAATCTGCATAATAATAATGTTCATGGAAAGTAGAGAGTCGCACATGTCCAACATGGTATATGTATAAGGCAAATGATGATTCAGGGTTGATGGAGTAAAAGTGCATGATTGACCGAACAATTTTCAATAAGTACTGCTTATGACCCACAAACATTCGCAACGATAACCTAACTCTGTTCCGCTCTATACGGTATATGCAAAAAACACACTCACGGCCATTTTCTAAGCTTTCTTGGCTGTTTGTTTGTTGTTAAAATCCCATAATACATACATATATATAATCTATTTTATATATAAATAAATAGAAATTAAATTAAATTCAACATAGTAATAAAGTCTCATTTGTGATAAAATGACGTCCACCAATACAGATATTAATAACAACTATTATAAGAAATCGACCACGAATACATTTAATAAGATGCCGATAAACGGCGGTAACTCTAATGGCTTGCATTCAGACGAGCCCAAACTTTACATAAGCAAACTGCCTGCCAATATGACTGAGGACGAGGTGATAGGCATTTTCAATAACGTCAATAACGTCAATAACGTAGCTTACAATAATATAGCTTACCATAATGTAAAGCCAATTAAGTAAGTCTTTTTTTATATTTCTTCTTGATGTACGTTGATTATTTGTTCAACTCGGATGAAAATAAATTAAATTACATTGTTATTCCTAATAGAGTCGATATCAAAAATCGCGTACTTCACTTTGCAAATCGCAACATCGGTAATTATAATTATAATTAAATTTACATATGTTGTGTAAGTGGGAGTAGATATGGAATCGTTCTAGAGCTAGGTCTAGTGCTAGATAAGATTATTGTTGATCGTAAGATTCAAAAGTTCATAATAAATGGACTCCGAATCCATTCCCACTTACAACTCTCTTGCACGCTCGTTCTATTATATTTAATAATATTCCTTATATTGATGATGATAATAGCCGAAAAGGCTTACGCACTCTACAATAAGTCCGACCAATGGAGCTTACATTTGACTGATCCCAATATCGAACAAGATCCACAACCGACTGCTTGTGTTTTGGAAGTCAAGCAGTTTCCACCAAAGATAGATTTGTATGAACAATTTCGGAAATACGGTCCTATATACTCTTTGAAAATTCCAAGCAAGGGAAGAGCTTATATCCAATATTTTCATAAAGCTAACGCTGAAGAAGCAGTGAATAAAATGGTATGGAATGTGAATAGTTCTTGCGTCCTTTTATGTATGAATCGAGATTGACTCATATTCAAATTACTACAGCATTGCACAGAAATAGATGGAAAGACAATGTAAGTTAGTTAATCGCAGGATAACTCGATATAAATTTTGAATTACCTATAAGAGAATTATATATTTCATACATTTTATTGATTTGTTTTTTTTTAACACAGTAAACGAGATATACTAATATGTTTTTGATACGTTCATAATCCTCTCCTAGTAATGTTTCCGAGTTCCATTTCACACAACAACAACAACAATACCAATCAATCACTCCTATCAAAACAAACAGCCACAGCAATTCACAATCTTTAAACGGAGTAAGCTTAACAATAATAATAACAATTATATTTATTGTTCACGAAGAAATTTTTAATTCTTTAACCACTTATTTAAAATTAGTCTCCATTTTCGCCTGCGAGTAGCTACAGCAGTTCGCAAACTGCGCCACAACCACAATCACCCGGTCCTGAGGGTCCTTTGGTAGATCCGTGTAATCTTTTTATAAAGAATTTAGACGCAAATATTACAAGTAGTGATCTTTTTAATCATTTCCGTAAATATGGGCGAATCATCAGTGCCCGAGTTATGAGAGATCAGGAAACCAACACGTCTAAAGGTTTCGGATTTGTAAGTTATACCACTGCTGAAGAGGCTGATCGGGCTAAGCAGTCAATGAATAATAAAACCCTCGGGACAAAACAAATTGTGGTTAGACTCCACGAACCAAAAAAAATGCGTGAAGCAAAATCTTCAAACAATTTCAATCCTACTTCTCCTTCAGAATCTCGTGCCCCTTCTCGTCGAAATTCCGATCAGTACCCTATCAATGCGGTCAATGAATATGACCAAGAAACGCTTTCTGGACTAGCGCCCAAAGCACGAACCGAAATTTTGAGTTCTGAATTGCAAAAACGGTTTAAAAATATCGCAGTCCCGCAAGAAGAAGTTGGTCCTATTATTGAACATCTATTGAAAATGAAAATCCACGAAGTGTTGCATATTCTTAAAGATCCACCTGCATTGACACAAAAGGTAGTTGTTATCTCTTTTATTATTAGTATACACATTTAGTGGATAATGGTAATTGATGAAAATTCTTTAGATTCACGAAGCGCGAGCTTCTCTCCAAATGGAAAAGAAGCAACGTCGTGGTTCTGATGATCCCGTGCAACCAAGCACACCAAGTGCTTCAGCTTCGTATACATCGGCAGAACGTGAAAAGTTAACAGAACGTGAAAAGTTTTTAAAAGCGATAAAAAGAATTGCGCCCCAGCATGGTGAAGAGATTCTTGAATTAATCATGTCCTTGAATAAGAAAGAGCGTACATTATGCTACTTCAATCCTGAATATTTAAATAAAAAGATTATAGAAGCGAATGTAGCACTTAGTCTTACACATGAAGATGATCAATCTACTACACCTTCGAGTCCAAATAAACTTTTAAACTCTGCAGATATTACGCCTGCTTCAACTCCTCCGGCTAAGTCACCAGAACCAACGACGACAACCATTTTACCTTCTCAGCCGAAAATCCCAGTGCAAATCCCAGAGCAAAGCGTAACACCTAGCAACGGTGTTTATGACGCTCAGCATGAGGAAATAGAACATTTTCTCGAAACTCTTAAGGGTAAACCAATGTTGGAGCAAAAACAAAAATTGGGTGATAGGCTCTTCCCAAAAGTTAAAGCCACAGTCAAGGTAATTTATTATTTACTTGTAACTATTAAATTTATGAATACAATTTAATAATTGGGACCTTTACATATTCTTTTATCAGAGTCTTGGAATGAAGGCTCAAGCAAGCAAAGTAACAATCATTCTTCTCGATACTGATGATCTCCGTGAATTGGCTCATTCGATGAACGATCAAGATAGATTCAAAGCAAAAGTTGAAGCCGCGGTGGCAAAAATTAATGCTGCCAAATAAAATACCAAATGTATGTATAATGATAAGCGCAAGCATCATATATTAATCTATTTTTCTAATATCCCATGTTTTTCGACTGATATCAGTGCCATATAATGCCCGATAGGATTTGGTGCTCCTCGTCCTCCCTCATATGCGGGCAAACACCTCATGATTAATTATTATTACCTCTATTGCAATCTTTTTAAATCTATTATGAAATATTTTAGCTCGTGGCAAAAATGCTATCAAATCTAGATATGTATTACTGTTCTTACCTCGAGAAAGATATCCAGTAAATTTATGCTCGAATACTTCCGATAAGGTATATTATTACATTTTTGTTTTTGTTTATTATTTTTATATTTATAGAAGCAAAATACTTTCTTTATCAGACAAGCGTTACCCTATTATATCTATTTATTGACTATCTATCAATCCTTATTAAATTCCTACTCTATCCTTTTTTCCATTCATAATTAATAATAATTAAATTCAACATGCCTCCTATATATTTCCATGTCTTTCGATTGTTTATTATATATAGGTTTTTTTATTATCTTTTCTTAAAAGAAAAGGACAACTTATTATTATTAACTACACAAGAAACTGGGAAAAAGAGATAGGGAACAAGAAAACAAATTTTATATAGCATTGTGCGGATCAGAGGGATATTATTCTCTACTATTATAGAGATCACATAAACACACTAAAGTATGTGAGCATATTATGTAATGCTTCATGCTTTTTCCCTATATTCAAGTTTTGTAGTTTTTTAAGCGAATTTTTTATCTTGTTATAATTTATCAATTTATATCACATTTACTTATATGGTACATTTACTTTTTTTCTTATTAATAAAATCCTTATAGTGATGGCGTGTAACAAAAGTGATCATTTTTAATTTATAGACCAATTGATTCGGCAAAATTGATAATATTTGTCGCAGATTAAAATGAAATTTTGGCCCAAGTTATGCAGATTATGTAGATCATTTGGCCAAAATTATAATATCTTATTGAATTGTGAATTTTTGTGAAATATAAAATACAGATTAATTTTGTAATAATATTTATATAGCTGAAAATCACTGGTATAATGCTTTTATACTATATATTATAATAATTATTAAGATATTTATTTTGATTTTAATCTGTTATAATAATTAATATTATAAATCATATTATTAAATTAAAAATAAATTATAAGATATATTTAAATTTAATATAATTTATATATAATTTTTGTTTAATCTTTAATTCTAATTCTAATTCTAAAATTAATCTTATTAAATATTAATATTTCTTGTAAAAAATTTAAATTTAAATTTATTTTTCTTTTAAAATTATTTATAATATAATTTCTTAAAATTAAAACTTTAAGCTAATTAAGTAATTTAATTTTATAATTAATAATAAAAATAATAATAATTTAAAATATTAAATATTATTAATAAAAATAAAAATATCAAATCAAAATTAAATTCTTTATAAAAAAATAATATTAGAAATATTACTTTAAAAATAAGAAAAAAAAGTAAATTATAAAATAATAAGAGACTTTTATAATAAAAAAAATAATAAAAAATAATTTTTTTTAATATAAATTAAGAAAAATAATAAAAATAATTAAGAAATTAAAAAATTTAATATAAATAAAAATTTATTTATAATAATAAAAATAAGAAAAAATATATTTATTACTATTAATGATAGTATCAGAATTTTTTTATGAAAAAATTTTTAGTACTTTAATATAATCATCTTATCAAAAATATTAATCGGTCATTCTAGAATAAAATTTTGCAAGAAATATTTTTTCTTAGAATATAAAAAACAGTTTTATATAAAATTTTGAGTTATTATTATTTTTTGAAAAATTATTTATTTTTTAATTTGTTATTATTTTTATTATATATAAATTTTGTAATATTAATAATTAATTAAATAATTTGGTATTATTATTAGTAATAACAAATAGATTTACTCTAAAAATAATTATATAATATAAAAAATTATAGTTATTTGAATAATAATAAATATAATAAATAATTATAATTATAGCTATCTGAATAATAATAAATATAATTAATATATAATCTTCTAATTACATAATATAATATATAAAAAATTCACACAAAAATTCAAGATATAATAAAGTAATTAAAATAATATTTATACAGAAAATTAATTCAAGAGCAAATAAGATTATTATATTTAAAACTTAAATTTTATTATATTAATCATTATTAAAATTACAGAATAGATATTATATCTTTAAATAATAAATTATAATTATATAAAATTAATAATAATAAATAATACATAATACTTATATAATAGTATTTTAGAAGATGCTTATTAATATATAAAGAAAATAAATAATTATAAATAAAAATATAAAATAAATAATATATTAGTTATATTAGTAGAATAAGAAAGAAAAAAAATTTTATTAAGAAACTTTTTATAACTAAAATAACTTAATTATATTATATAACTTTCTTGATAAAAATAAGATAATTTATAATATAGTAGTCATATATAATACAGTATGTGATATAATAATAATCTGTAAATAAATTATTATATAATAATTATAATAATAAAATCTTATATTAAAAAATTAATTAATATATATAAAAAATATTAATATTTAAAAAAATAAAAAATATAATAAAAATAAATTTAATATTTTAATAAGTTTTTTTATAAAAAAATTAAATATATTATAAATATTTTTTCTTAATAAATCAAATATAAATAAATTAAAATTATTATTTAAACTATAAAAAAGATTATAAGTAATAAATATAAAAATTATAAATTAATTATAAATTTTAAAATAAAAAAAATTTTAAGATAATATAAAGAAAATAAAAATTAGAATAAAAAAAATTAAAAAAAATAAAATATAAAACTTAAATAAAATTAATAATAATTAAAGTTAATACTTGAATAATTTTAAATAGCTTGAATAAAAATTTATTAATAATTTAATTATATAAATATTTAAATAATAATTTTAGACTAATTTAAAAACTAATTTTAATAATAATATAATATAAATATAAATATAAAATTATATTATTTTATAATAAATTATTTATTTTAATTTAATATTAAAACTAAATTTAAATAAATTTAAAGATTAATAAAATATTATTTTATAATTAAATATTTATAAATTTAATAATTATAAATATTAATTATTTTATAATTTAAAATAATTAATTATAATAATTTTTTAATTTAAAATTTAGAATAATTAATTATATATAAGAAAGATTATAATATAAAAATATTTAATATTATATTATAATAATAACTAAAAATAATAACTTAAAGATTAAATTTATTAATAAAATATAGTAAAAATTAAATTTTTTTTATATTAAAATTTATAATTTTATTAAGAAATAATTTTTTATAAAATTAATTAGTTATAATTTAATATATATTTTTTTAGTTTTTTTTAAAAAGATATCTAATTATAAAATTAATATAAAAATTTTTATTAATTAAAAATAAAATTTAATTATAAAAATTTTTTTACTAACTTTATAATTAGAGTAACTCTTTCAAAAAAATCTGAAAAATTATATACTAAATTATAACTAATAAATTTTATTTTGATATAAAAATAAAAATTATTTCTTAATAAAATTATAAATTTTAATATAAGAAAAAATTTTAATTTTTATTATAGTTTATTGATAAATTTAGTTTCTAAATTATTATTTTTAATCATTATTATATATATATTTAATATTAAATTATATTTATTTTTTAAAATTTAAATTTTAATATTATATTATTTTTATTTATTTATTTTTTAAAATTTAAATTTTAATATTATATTAATTTTATTTATTTATTTTTTAAAATTTAAATTTTAATATTATATTATTTTTATTTATTTATTTTTTAAAATTTAAATTTAAATATATAAATATTAAATAATAAAATAAAACTAATAAAAATAAAATATAAATAATGAAAAGTAAAATAATATTTAAAATAATAATTTATTATTAAATAAATATAAATAAAATTTATAATTAATAAGATTTATTTAATAATTAAATTATAATTAACTTTTTAAATTTATTAAATAATATAATAATTAAAAATTAAAATAATATTAAAAAATTAAAATAATAATAAAGTATTAAAAAATATTATTTAAATTAAATTTCTTTATAATATTTTATATATAATTATAAACTTAATATAATTATTTTTTTTCAAATAATTATAAAATATAAAAAATTTAATTTTTATATAATTATATTTTAAAAAATAATTATATAAAAATTTAATTATAATTAAAAATAAAAATAAAAATTATAAATTATAATTTAATATAATTTTTTATAAAATTAATATTTTTTTATTATTATAATAATTTAATTTTTAATTTTTATCTAGCTTATTTTTT